TTCAGAAAATGAAGAAGGGTCCAGACCCGAAAAGTCAGCTTTCCTGCTCCTCTGATGCTGCTTGGCCTGCTGTGTTCATCCAGCTCCACACCTTGTTATCTTACATCATATCTAATTACTCATAGGCCTCTCTGAATCCCAACTTGAAACAGGACAGGTGCTTTTTCCGCACTGGCAGCTTAGTCCCATCAGTGTTTCAGGCTCATGGCTCTCACTGGGTGACTGGGTTGGGGACTCATTTGTTGACACTGGGCAAGTGGCTACTGAACACCATGACCCCTGTGGCTTCTGGCTTGGGAGTTCTCACATTTCACCTCCTTTGGCTCTTTTTGTTCTTGGTTTGTACCCGGTGATACTGTTTTTTTACTGTCCTCAGGAAAACTCCAGAAGCCAACAAATGGATGATTTGTTTGACATCCTCATTGAAAGTGGAGGTAAGCTCATGCTGTCTATTTTTGCTTTGCTAAAACCTTTTAAAGCTGAGCTGTTTGTGATTGTTGCCTGTGTGATCCCACATAGCTGTCTTTTCATGGTGCCTCAGATAGTTGAGGGGACACTTGTGGAATGGTCAAGTCACTGACCCTCCCCACACCCGATCATTGAGCTAGTTTAACCTCGGCTCCCCGTTCGGGAATTCAAACTCTAAATCTGTCCATCTCCTGACTGCAGTTCCTTTTTAAAGCATTCTTTAAAATGTACCTCTTTGACCCGACTTCTTATCCCCCACCCTTCTATGTTCTGACAGACTCCGAGAATGTGTCCGAGGAAGGATCTTGGGCTATTTTACTGTGAGAAAGAAGCTGTATAAATGCTATTTGTTATAGTTTACGCTCTTGGCCCCTTGTGGGTTGAAAGTTCTACCAGTCCCTTCAGTAAGTTTGAGATTCTTGGGAAGTTTACGCCAATGAGGCAGCAGTGTTATGAGTGCCGTCCTTTTGAAGCTCTCTGGCTCATGTCAAGTGTGGCCTAAACAAATTTCTGTATAAATTGGCCATTACTTCCTATTCTATTCCTCTAGAATGAAAGCCCCAATTCCTGGGCTTGTGCTCCTTTTGGCCTGACTAGCTTGAGTTGCTAGTTTTAACAGTTAGTCATTATTTCCCAGATTGCTGTGCTCCCCATCCTACATAGCTGCTTGCCCATCCAAGAATAAATGTTCTCCAAATTTCTGCTGCTATATTTACGTAAAAATGCTGCTAGTATGAGCCCAGATGGTGAGTGCCATTGTGCCACTCATGGCCAGCTCTGATCCTTTCTGGCTGTTTGCCAGTGAATCATGAGCAGTGGTGTGGTTTTAGCTTGAGACCTACAGTGCCCAAAATCGGTTGTACCACAGCTGCCTGAACCCCTGCCCTCTGAGTCCTTGGGGAAAATCAATGTGTTGGCTGACTGAGACTGACCCATCCAAATCACCATGTAAGGGACCGAAAAGTGATTGATTGATTGTCTTTGTTTGACAGAAATTTCACTCAATGCCAAGGACGTCTCCACATCTTTAAACACGCCGTCTCCACAGAACGTTTCGCCCACGCTTGCTGTCTCTCCACCCCCAGTGGTAAAAGCACAGCTACCGTCACCTCAGTTGCTGCTGGAACCCATCAACGAAAGTCAGTCCATCGATCGCGAGAGCCAGCTCGAGGACTTCCTTGTGAGCACCACCGGTGTGCCGCTGTTATCGGTGGATAATGATGGGACGGAACCCCTCTCCCTCATCGATGACCTACACAACCAAATGCTGAGCAGCTCCAGTATTCTCGAGCATCCTCATTCACCCATGGACACTTCGGATATGCACTTCACTGCAGACAGCACCAGTCTGGCTCTGGACCTCACTGACACTAACTTGGACAACATGGAGTGGCTGGACCTGACTATGGGCAGCACCTCTGTGGGTCTTGCTCCTTTGAGCTCCGCAACCCCCAGTGTCTTTTCTACTGACTTTCTAGACAGCCAAGACCTGCAGCTACACTGGGATTAACATCAAGCAGCCAAAACATTGAGGGTGAGCGTTTGCAAAAATCCCCTGGTCAATGTGGACCTTCGGTGCACGGAACCTGATGAGGTTCATTTCAGTGTGCGCTTTTCGCTGTCACTTTACTTGACCGGGAGATACATGTGCGCTGGGAATGCAGGACCCTTGGCGAAACATCCAGAGGATTTTTCTCTGTTCCAAAGTCGCAGGCAAGAATGGGCTGGAGCTCCTGACTCAACTCTGGGCCCAACCACCACTGCTGGGAATCTACAACTGGATGAGATTCCCAACTTGAAGATGAACCTGCTCGCTGACTGACCTGGGCAGCGTGGGTTTCTTTGATGTTCATGAGGCTTCAGAGCCTGGTCCTCATGAAGCAGGATCACACTCTCAGCACCCACCCATTATTTGATTTCTACGTTGCCAAGGTTGTCTTTTTGCACTGACTGGGGAGGGTGGGAATGTTTTTAAAAGGAAAAAAAAATAAATTAAAACCAAAACCCAAGGGTACACTAACTGAGCAGGCATCAAAATTAACTGACCCCTCCCCGCTCCCTTCCATCCCAACCACAACCTGTTCAGGACAAGTCTGAAGGTTGTTGCCTGCATCTGGGACAGATACCTTGGTCCTCCACACATTCTCTTTAACTTCGCAAAACAAGACCTGTGTTTGAGTGGCCCAGATGTAACTGCAGTATCACGACTTGTAAAGAAATAGTTCCCTTCGTGTTCAGGAGCCTAGCATTATCTGTTTTATTCTGAGGCGGGAGGTGGAATTCATCCCTGGGAGCAGCTCCTCACTATCATTGTGCCATTCATTCTTGAGTCGAACTTTGAACTGTTTCATTGGATTTAGGTGCTTGAGCTCTTGTGCACACCCCGACATCAGCTACAGGTTCCCTATCAGTTTCTAAAATGCAGAGTCCAAAATACAAAATGAAACAAGTTAGGATGCATCCTGTTTGTTGATTGTGAAACATTGACCTACTGACGATCGAATCCACCAAGTCCCTGAGTTGTGCAAAGGAGGTGGCATGAGCCTGCTCTCCTAGTTTTTGCAGTGTTGATGACAAATCAACCCTCCAGGCCAGGGTGCCACTCGAATGCACCGTCCATTGCAGACAGGGCATGACCAATAAATAACTGTCCACTGCCAAACTGGGCTCTTGGAGCCGGGTGCCCGTTCTCTGGGTCTTGTGGTTGCAGAGTTAGGGAGGAGCAAAGGTTGTCTGCACAGATTTCATTCCCTCATTGACTGAAGTGCTGCCTGTGTGGGAAGTTCCTCTATCACCTGCTCCCCTTGCCTTTCAACGTGGACGGGATTTTGGCCAGGGGGTTAAATGTTGAACAGGGCAATCGTTTGAATGTTATTGTCACCTCAGTGTCGTATTTCTCACAAGTGAAAGATTACTGCAGCAGGAAGATTCTTGTATCTTGCCAGCTCATACAAGGATTTCTTTTACAACTGTAAAGTTACAATCATCTAGAATGTAAAACAATTGTACAATGTCAAATGTGCAATTTAATCATATCTGTGTATAGGTCGCATCGCTGACTAACGTAGCACTGGTGTAAAAGCCTTATTTGTCACTTCAAGCCTTGGTTGTGAGCATCAAACGGTACAATCTTGTCAGCTGCACATGAAACATTTGCTTGCAAGCTCATGGCCAAGCTAATGCATTTCCCTTTCTCACCAGTTGTTTCTCCTGGCTGAGAATGGATAGCATTAGGTTTGGGCCTGGAGAAGTGTTTAGAAGTATGTCTTCTGGACATGGGCACTAAGCTGAAGGAGATTGATAGAACAAGAGCCTTTGGAGAGTTGGAGATGATGACGGAGAGATGAAAATTGATTGTGTGAAATGGAAATGGCCTTGAATGCCTGGTTTTTAAGTCTAGTTAGATCAATCATTGCTGTCCACATTGCTGTGATTTTTTAAAAATAGTACACACCCACTCATTCTCACTGCAGGCCTTGTGGTCATAAACAATATTACAAACTAGCGGCCGACATAATCATTGCAATAGCCAAAGTTGAAGTTACTGTGGTCATTTATGTAGCCTGAGGAAAAGTGATTGGGTGTTGCTGTTTTGGTCACCAGTATTTTTTTATTTTCCTCATCAGTTCCCTCGTGCACTGACTGCATTGGCAAGCCTCTTGCCTTGGCTGGGTTGTTGTTTTGTGGTAGTGGTTGACGGAAGGAACAGTTGTACTGTTCAAGGCTCCTCTTGCTTTGCTGAATGCAAGAGGAATTCTGTCTGAAATAGGACGAATTTAGGCAACGATCATTGTGAGGTGGGATGTCGTGTTGACAATTTCAGTTATTCATACAAACTGAGACACAGAGGATCTTTTTCTAAATGTTGTTAGTGTGTCAATTGGAGCAGGAGGAATTTGAGTTACTGTTGAAAGTTCCTAATGTCACCCGTATCTAAAACCTTCATAATGTCGGGAATGATTCTTGCACTGAAAGGTGCAATACACCAGTAATTAGGGCTAAGTGTTGAATTCTCAACATGCCCTGAACAAGAGCTCAGTTGTTATGGTGCACTACATAGTATTTTCTCATCAAATTTCTTGTGCACACTATTGGAAAGAATTTAGTGCTGCAAAGGCCGCTTCTCGAAGACTGAAGGTTTTCAACCTCTTTGCCTGAAAAATCCTTGTTTCTGATCTACGCAAGGCAAAAGACATTTTTAATATCAAGACGCTTTGAGTCATTTTTATCACAATGCTTTCCCCTTGGTTACTTGGCCATTGGCGTCAATAATGTCCACAGAAACAAATAATCTTCACGATGTTCTGTGGCAGTAGGAACCCTTGGGAATGCAGTGCTCTGAGCCGTTAGGGAATAATGGAGGGTCGAGAGTTCCAATCTACCTTGCTGCTACCTGATATCCCTCGCCCACAGCCAAATCCTCCCATGAGCCAAAGAATCTCCAACCCATCCCACACCAAGTAATGAATGCAAATTACTGCAGATGCTGGAAATCTGAAATACAAGCAGAAAGTGCTGGTGAAACTCAGCAGATCTGGCAGCTTCTCTGAAGACAGAAACAGAATTAACATTTTGAGTCAGTTATGACACTTCAGTTCTGAAGAATAATCAAATTCATCTTGAAACGGTAACTGTGTTTCTCTCTCCACAGATGCTGGATATTGCTCCCTGTGCTAATTCAATGATAGCAATCCTATTAATGTTTTGTGATTGTTGGGTATTGGTAGTCCATTGATTTTAAATGTTGAATTCTATTAATGCCCATTAATCCAGTCAGGTACCCAGAAGTAATACGAAGCAAAATTGTATTGATTCAGTTGTCCAATCATGATCTGCAACCTTTAGTGGTACCAATCAAAATTACAGCAACTCCGTACCAGGTGCTGAATGTTTTTAAATTTTGAAGTGTTTGGAGTTCATGGAAAACATGCAATATTTGCTGCTTTCACTGGCATGCTCTACAACCATAAATCTGATATAGATTTTGTGAAGTTTTTCATTGGGAAGCAGGGACTTGTTATTATCACTGGGTGTTTTTTAGCTGCCTGAGGAACAAACAAAAAAGTCATGTTGCAATCTGAGACAATCCAAGCCCAGAGCCATTGCATGACGGTAAAGCTGTCCCTGATAGTCTAGTTGGCTGTTGATTCCTGGTCCAGGATTTAAATGAAACACGAACAGGAGTGAAGCTCTGTGTTGATTCTGAAGGCCTTTGGAATGGGTAAGCCCTGGTCAAGTGGTATTGGCTCTGAACATGAAGCAGAAGGCACTCATTGTGTTCCCCACGGTAGTGTGGGGAATATTGGTGCTTTCCTCCTGTTTTATGTCCTGCCCATTAGCCTAAGGAAGACGCTATATAGATATGCAGGATGGGGGTATACTAATTTAGATACATTTTACACTCTCCTTACGTATGTCTTTCTGCTTCCATTCTCTCCACCCATTCCCAACCATGTGTTCATGCATCCCTAATTCCTGTCTGTGACTTCATGCTTACACTGCTGTGAATTTGAATGTGAAATGCAGTTGTGTTGCAGAGTTAGAATGCCAGTGTGCATTCTTGTGCAAACCTGATTTTCTTCTCTGCATCTTTGGCTGTGCCTTTACCTACCTGGATCCAGACTTCTGGACTCTCTCCCTAAAATTTCTTCTTGTCCTCCCTCCTTTTGAGGCAGTCTTTAAAACCTACTTCTTTGGCCAAACTTTTTCTGTTGTCGTAATATCTCTTTCATGTTGGTCAGTATCTTTGCAAACTGTTCCTGCAAAGCACCTTGTGATATTTTGCCTGTCCAGTGATGTCAACAATAGGGTTCTTACCCTTTATTGCTAGTGCGTTAAAGGTTAAGCTAAGGTCTTGTGACACAGTTGTAGTGCTCCTGCCTCTGGGCCAGGAGGTCCCAGTTCAAGTCCCAACTGCTCCATGGGTACGCACTGCAGAATTTCACTAAGGCTCCTCGGACAGCACCTTCCAAACTCACGATCATTTCCATCTCAAAGGATAAGAGTAGCTGATACCGCTATCTTCTGTAAGTTTTCCCCAAAGCGCCTCACCATTCCGACTTGGAAGTATACTGCAGTCCTTTCACTGTCACTAGGTCAAACTCCTGTCTGTCTTCACTAACTGAGCTGTAGCAGTACATGAAGGCAACTCACCACCACTTTCACCAAGATAATTAGGAATGGGCAATAAATGCCAGCAAAGCCCACACCCCCTCATTTTAAAAAATAACTGACCTCTGAAATGGCCAGGCCAAAAATTAAGTTCAAGAGCAATTAGGGAACGGGCAACACGCGCTTTCCAGTGCGTTCAACATCCTGTGAAAGAACTGAAGCCATGCATAGACCCATTGGACATCAGTCTGTAGATCCCAATTCCACACTGCACCCCGAGAGACACAGGAGAATGTGGACAGTGAGGAGACATTGTGCATCCTCATCGAGTCCAATGTTCTCAAATCTGTCACAGAGGTGGAATGTAAATCCAGAGAGATGATAGCTTATCTCTAAAGCCTTGAAAATATGTTTTGTACGTTTATTTGATCATGGTCTAAGAATTGACATAGATTAGATTAACTAAGTAAAATTATGGTGGAGCTAGGCACTTCTTAATTATTCACAGTTTAACATATTTGTTATTGACTGCCTGTTCAGGGGTTGATTTTGTGACATGGTATTGATCAGTTGAAGTATTATTGATTTGCTGTGCTCACCTGCCTACATTAGCACAGGCACTGTCCAGAGGAGCTACTGAAATATTAACACTTCCATGTGCCCTTAGAGTTGCTGGTGAGTGGTCCAGCTATAATCACACTCTGGGTGTGTTTCCTCTCAAAGCAGCAGCGGTAGAAAAGGCAGAATCAGTGGAATTTGGACTGGGGAGGTGTAAATCGCCTCGAGGCGTTTCCAGGCAGTTAATCTACAAAAATGCTAAAAGAGTACAGTATGGATCTACTTGAGCAATGGGCTCTGACGCCCACAGTGCTCTTGTCGGTAAATGCACCAGAATTAATCCAGATCAGGACAGTATCCGGTTTAGTCCCAGGCTTCTGAATAGATAGTTGATGCTACATTGGCCTTTACATGGGATTGGTGGGGGTGGGAGTAGCGACTGAATGTTGACTGTTTTCAAAGCATATCACGGATTTATTTTCACACAGTTTGATAGGTAGTTTTTCAGGTAATGGTTGATATTCTCAAATGGGCCTCCTTGGATTCCAAAGGCAGTCCCAGGCTGGGTGTATTGATTGAAAGGGACACTGAAGTGCCTGTTCTCAGTGCTTGTAGCAAATAACTTGCCTTTCAGTACACCGTACCATAATTCTACATAGGAACCTGTTTTTTCTGGAAATTTCCATGTGGCTAATCACTAGCAGTTAAAATGGGATTATAGTAAACAGTCCTTCATGGTTACTTGCAGGAAATACATGGTTTAATGTCTCATGGAGGGCACCTTGTTAGAGTAGAATAGCCTAGTTACATGGTGTGCCTAAGGTTCTCTGACTGAAATTTGTGCTTAGATAATCATAGTGTCATTGTAAACTGAGCTGCACACCAATGTGTGTACATGTCCAATCCTTGCACTCTGTACCCACTCAGCTGATCAGTGACTGATTAATCTCCCTTCAGTTTTCTATGCCGTGTTAGTTTGGGTTTTTAGACAAATTATAAGCTGTTGACGGAGTAAGTGACTGGCACCTTCACTGTGCCCCTGCAGGGTATACGTTCAGAATGAACTTGTGTAGCAATCCTGCTCTCAGTCTCTGTGGAGAGAGGTGGGAAACAAAAAATCTACCAGGGAATGTGTTCTCCAACCCACCATGGCAGAGAAATGACAATAGTGGCAAGAGAGGCTACAGCATCCTGTGGTTGGGTAACTAATGGGGAGGATGGAGTTGGGAAGAAATCGGAACACCTGCATTGAGGAGGCAGTGGGGATTACAGGCCACAGGAATCTGCTGGTCAAGTCTAGGATCCGGTGGGAAGTGTTTTTTGTTCTGTTCATGTTTTGCCTTTTCATTTACTTTGCACTCTCTTCATCGAACTCCCTTCCTTTGTAGTTACGTGTTGTATGTTTGTGGGGTTTTTTTGCTGGGGGGTGGTGGGGTGCGGGTGGGGTATGGAGCTGAGCAGTGGACATTTGCCTGGATAATGAGCCCAAGTTGTCTACAACCTCCCAAAGTACTGCAGAACCGCACCAAACTTTGGCATATCTTTTTGGGTTACAGGATCCCCCTGGAGTCCTGCCTCTGGAGAGTTGGCAGACACTTGCTCCGAGCGCCCAATGCCCAGTGGTTTGATGTCTGAGTGTGCCATCTTGATCATTAAGGGCTCAAGATTGACACTTGCTACAAAGTTAAGCTCAGCTCTGCCTAACTGTAATGGATCTCGGTGTTGGCACGGGTAGGATCTGTCACAGATTCTGCTCCTTTATGGCTGTGTTGGCCATTTCGTGGGAAGTGAAACCATCCATTGCAGGATTGGCTTGAATTGTTGATACAGTCAGACAGTATGCTGGCACCCACAGCTCACCCTCTGGGATATGAAGACCCAGGGCTGATGGTAGCTGACCCGAGTGAGAGCCAACATTCAGCACTGTAGCAAGGCAAATGGGAGACCATTGAGTGCTCCTTGTTTATTTCAATGCCATGATGTAAAGCCTCGCCCTTATGATAGAATGTTGCTGGATGATGTGTAGGTGACTTTGCAGAGCCATACCTACCAGCCAATGTGTCCAATGTTAATCTGTGTCTACTATGAGTTCCGCTAATATTGCTGCGACTTTGTTTAAAAAAAATTCTAGGGTAGTGAAAAATGTCGGTGCCTGAGTGATAATCAGTCCGTTGCTGTACGTGAGCACTTTGCGAAAAATTCAGAATTCTGAACTGAAGCGGTAACCAATCACTTTCCCGTACAGGAGCGGAGGCCCTCACATTAGACTGGTGTGCCAGAACTTTGTACAAATTCTTTCCCCTTTTAATGCCACTGTGAATGTGTATATTCCAACTCTGAGGTGTAAACATTTATTGGGAACCATTTGGAGGAATGTATTTGGATTTTCCTTCCTTTTCAAATTGTAGTGACTGTATCCTCGTGATCAGCCATTGACAAGGAAATGGAAGGGGGTGCAGAGAGAGAAAGCAGACGTAATGAATGAATTTTACTGCTTGCTTTTCTCTTTATCTTATCTTTTTTAACTGTCTGTAAACACTGTTTTGTGTTGAACTTTTTAAAAAACCTTTTTTAAAGAAACATCGTGTTTGTGTTATTCAGACTTCCTCTGATTTAATTACAATCTTCAGTGTTGTAAAGTTGTTAACTGTCCCCATCCGCTTTTATTTAAAGGTTTAATGGGGGTGTGCTGCTTTTGGCAGGTGGAGCAGATCAGTTCGGTTCTGTGCCAGGGGAGAGTGGATTTGATCATGTCATTCCACTGGGTTAGAGAGAAGGGAAGGGAAATAACAACCAGTCAACTTCCAATACGTAGTCACCATCCTGTGTGTGTATTAAAATCACTGAACCTTGGCTCAGTGTTTGTTTCTGAATGAGATGGCTGTGATATTTCTCACAATGTAGGTCAATGACCCAGTGCACTCTCGGAGGAGTTGTCTCTTGCATGAGACATTAAATGATCTGAATCCCCTCTGGTAGAGGTGCTGTTTATGGAGCAGGCCATTCTGTTGTCCTGGTGATTCTACATCTCTGCTCGAAGCTCAATTGAGTGTCTGCAATGGAGAATTGACTGTCTGTTCATCTGTCCAACCCTTTTTTTCTCTCTCTCTCCCTCCCTCCCTCTCTCTCTCTCTCTTGCCAAATAATTGGGGACCGCTTACTGTCAGTGAGTTTCACCTCCCTAGCAGACAGATACATGTGGTGTTTATATTGGCATGAGTCACTTACCCCTTGCTCTCTTCCCTTCTCTCACCTACGCATGTCAAACCTTCCCTTTACAGGATCCCTTATCTCCTTCAGTCACTCGTGTGGCAGAGTTCCATATGTTTTCCACAGTCAAATTCCTGCTAAATTCTTCGATCATCTTGCTGCCTGCTCTACTCTCTCCCACGTGCAGATCAATTGCGTTAAATGTTTGATGTACTTGTCTTACTCTGCCCCGTTTAATTTCTTAGATTCCAAGAAATGAATGGCCTCTTTTTTTGTATTTCCAACCATAGTGATCCACTTTGTTCTATTGAATTTAATGTTTACCTATCTTCCTTCATTCTGTCACAGTGCTCCAGATTATGCTCTATAACCTGCCCTATCACCCTTGCCCCCAAGGTTCTGAAACTGTTACGTTATTGTGAGTATTATTGAGACAATGGGCCAGTAATGCCGCACTGGACTAGCGATCCAGAGATTTGTGCAAATACTCTGAGGACCCAGGTTCAAATCCAACCATGACAGCTGGTAGAATATCAGTTCAATTCATTTTTAAAAATCTGGAATTGAAAACTAGTCTGAGTCTTGCTCACCATGAGTCTCTCGTCTCTTGTAAAAAAAAAAATCAATCTGTTTCACCAATGTCCTTTACGAAATCTGCTATCCTTACTTGTTCTAGCCTACATGTGACTCCAGACCCATAGCAATACTGCTGACTCCTAACTGTCCTCTGAAATGGCCCAGCAAAACCACTGGGTTCAAGGGCATTGGGGGTTGGCAATAAATACTGGCCTTGCCAATGACCCCTACATCAATGACACATGCTAATTTCAGCAGCGCTGCACGTCACAGTTAATGTATCTACACTCTGGTGCATTGTGAACAAATGCCTTTAACAGTGAGGACTTGGAGCATCCTGTGGATCAGAGCCCAGTAAGGAGTCAGCTTTGAGTCAAAAGGAGAAATTTTAAGGGGAGAGAGAAGTTTTTTTGAATGTAGGTATTTGATTGGAGAGGAGGGAAGGGGAAGAAAACAGCAGCTGTATGGAAAAAAGGTGAATGGGACTAATTGGATCATTCAAAATGTTGGTATTTGGTTAGGGCTGAATGGCCTCCTCCTGTGCTGTACAATTCTGCTATGCTGGGATGCGTTGGCAATAACCTTGCTGCAGAACCTGACACTATCTGGGCTAATTGGACAGTCTTAACACTCCTCCAGGCCCACCTCCAAACCACTATCAGCCTCAGCAGTGTTTGATGCTGCTTTTGCAAATTTATCCAGTGGAGAAGCATCTTAAACTCCTTTGAAACACTGTCTTCTTCAGCCACCTTCATAAACCAAACTGCAGTTCTTGCCTCTATCACACGATGGTGGTGGTGGTGGAGTTGTATTTGGAATGTAGCCATGATATGCTGTAGGCTTGAGTTCCAAAGATTGAAGACTAACTGGAATTTCAGTGCTAGGGTCATCAATGGTGAGCTGTTCCTGAAGGTTTAATCACCTGCCTGTCTGTTTGCCTCCCACTGTCCAATCAAAGAGTCTTTCCTATCCCCAGATCCAACCTCATTGGAATGACTCAACAGTATTTAAACCACTGTTTATATTCTCCAAAAATAAATTGTGCTTTTCCTCCTGGATATTGTTTGCAGGAGGGGCAAGCAGATTTTCCTTAAACTCTCAGAGGCTGTAGGACAATCCCAGAGGAATGGCAATCCTGAATCAATATTGATTGGAGTTCTGATCGACTCCTTAGTTTGTCTGAATCTACGCCTGCTTGCCCCCCCAATTTTAATCCTTGTCGATTACACTGCTATTTCTCACAGAAGTACTCATTTCACATAATAAAATCCATAATTCATTTTTGATCTTGTCTCTTTCTTTTGTGTTGCAACTTAGAGGTTTACTGCTGCAATGGGGCCATTTGGCCCATCATATTTGTACTAACTCGTGTGTAGAGTCTTTCTCCACTTCAAGTGGACCCTTGATACAATGTCTCCGTCAAGATTTCCTCGCATCTTTAACCACCTAACATTTTGTCCATTTCAATTTTATGGTCTTTGGTATTTCATTCTACAAACACATTTGTAACACTAAGCCTAATGTACAGTTTTTGACTTGCATTGTAAAATACACATACACTCAATAGTCAGGTCAAAAACATGTAACAACAAAAACAGTCAAATTCACTGCGTAAGAAGGAAGTGGGGAGTTAAAAGGAATACTAAATTAAAATTGCAAACTTGTATAACAATCCTCCATTGCAGATGCTGAATTACACAGATTTCATCCTTTACAGTGAGAGCCCAAACAATGTAAGCAATAGACCACATTATTATCCTTTCTAAATAAAAGCTGGAAGAACTGCAGATGCTGGCAATCAGAAACAAAAACAAAATGCTGCAGTATTAACCTTTCTGTCTGACATGTGGCAACAAAAGTAGTTGTGTTGTCCTAACTGGGCATGGTGTTGTTCGCCAGTTCTGAAATTGGCTTGATGAGTGATTAAATTTATAAGCGATTTTCTGAACTTTATACAAATATTAGTTCCTCTTTGTAGGGTTTCAAGCTTTGGTACAGGAAGGGTGTGTTGATAAGATCAAATCAAGGAAATAGTCTCGCCCTGTTTGTATATTGGAACATTTAATTAATTTAACCACCTCTAACTATCCTGTACCTTCTCTTCAGTGGAAATAATCTTAATATCTCAAGTGTGCTAACTGTAGATTCCATTCTTGTTATGCTCGTGCCTTCTGAAACTTTAGTTCTTACTCTTGACAAAACCTAAGCCAAGTCACCTTATACAGATATTTTCTAATCTAATCTAATCTTTCTAATCTAACTGTTCAGAGATAGTATGACTCAACTTTGGAGTAAGTAGGATTTGAACCCAGGTCTCCTGGCTCAGAGGCTGGGACACTACCACTGTGCCACAAGACCCCTCTTCTCAAAAATAAGAGATAACAAGATGTAGAGCTGGATGAACACAGCAGGCC